TTATTATTATTATTATTATTATTATTATTATTATTATTATTATTATTCTAGAGACATGTTCTATGATAGAGTACCAGGCCCTGAAGAAAGAGTTGGAGGAGAGGAATTCACAGAGAGATGAACTGTTGTACAAAATTAAGGTGAGGACAAAAAAGAAGGCATTTATAAAGATGTATGCACATTGTTACACACTTGGAAATGAGAAAGAAAAAAAAAACAGGTATTTTAAATCAGAGCATTTAAAGAAGTGTTCAGAAGGTGGACAGTTCAAGATTAGTGTTTAAAGATATATACTTACTGTCAGAAGCTAAACTTTCTTTTTATATTTGAATATTTTTCAGCAGAGTTTAAATTACTTAGGCTTGGCATAAAAAGTAAAGAAAAAATGGAGAAAACGTTGAAATAATGATGTTATTCTGCTTCAGATGTTGAATGACAAAGGAAAGAATTACAAGGCTCGTCTTGTCAAAGAGGAGAACAACAAGAAGCAACAGATCAAGATTATGAGGAAAACGCACGAATCTCACTTAGAGGCCAAACAAAACCTAGTCCAAAACTTACAAGATGTCATAGATGAGCAGGAAGCTAAAATCTTCCAGCTGGAAGCAGAAATTAAAGGTAATAGGCTGTGACATGATGTATGTGAGCATGTTGTGGGCCTTTGTTTGTGCCTGCCTGTGAGTGCGTGCGTGTTTGCATAAACATGCATATGCATGTACATGCAAGTTTGAGGAAAAAGTATCTTGTATGAAATCTACTTGATATAATGTATATGCCTACATACCAATGTTGCATATTGATAAGCATATTTTCATCAGTAATGCTGAACACGCACCATTCTTTTGAGGCTACTAGTAGATGATTTTTCAACCTGTTTATATAGTTTGCATCATTTAGTTAACTTTTTTCACAGGGGATACAAGTCGCAGATCGAAACCTCCATCTGCAGTGAACAAGTTGGTTGATCAGATTCAGCATTTAGAGTCAGAAAAGGCTGAGTTGACAGGACAGTTACTCACAGCTCAGGCAGAGCTCCAAAATTTCCGCTCAGAGAAAGAGGAACAGGATAGGACTACCAAAAGTGCAATAAATAAATTGGAGAAAGACAATAGGTCATTGCAAGAGGAGGTAGTAGGCCTCAGAAACAGGTAAATGTTTTGATATAGTTATCAGTGTATATTTTGATTCATCATGTATAGGATTTGCTACAACCATATCCCCTTAAAGTGCAATTTTGATGGTTTTAGGTTGAATGTAATTTTAAGTCTAACCAGTCTGATTTTGGTATCAATCAGTGCATATTTTGGGGAGTGACAATTAACACAAGGTGCCATAGTTAGATTTGAATCCAGCAGAGAATTTCCTAAGCTGTGGTATGCACTCAAAGTTCAATGATGATAGTTTCTTTAAACAATTAAAACTCACAATTTTTCCACAGTGACTCCAATATTTCATTGTCTCAACAGTGGTAATAACTCTTAGGTTTCAGTCCTTGTTTCTAGAGACAAACATTGTAACAGAAATTAATTATAAAAATTATAGTTGGTATTTATTTTCTCTTCAGGGCAATGGCAGCACAGACACAGAGAAACAACTGCTGAAATTAGAGCAGGACTGCGACAGACTGCAGAGGGAGCTTTCCGAGTCCTGCAGACTGCAGCCCAAACAACCTTATAATTATGCTGCAGAGAATGCTAAAATAAAGGTCGGTTACAGTGATTTTTATTTGTATTATCAATTATTACTTTTATAGTATTATTTTACTATTATTAGAACTACTTATTGTCAGCATTTATTTGTTTGTTTGTTTGTTTGTTTGTTTGTTTGTTTGTTTATTTTTGAAGTAAGGGGCAATTTGCCTGACTTGGGTTTTATACTGAAACTCTTCTTGAAGTTAATTCTCTTTGAATTTTACAAGTAAAAGAAATATGCTGTAAATGTTTAGTGTCTGATCTATAGATTCAAAAGTCTGTGTAAATGATTTTGTCATTGACTGCTTTATTGCAATCTTACCCATGAAAAAATGTGATAATTACTCTCTTTTACTGTAACAGAATAAGACTGTGACAGTTGAATGTGGTTAAAACAGTATGTTTTATGACATATTTGTGACATATTTAAGTTTCAGTGGTACTGTAAGGTAATGTCTAACAACTGTTGAAATACTTCAACTTTTTTTCCACACAAAAAAAAACAAAACAAAACAGAAATTAGAAGAAGAAAATGAGCACTTGAAAAACAGGGTGCTGGAACTGGAGACAGACTGTGCTATAAAACAGAAAGAGCTCTCGGACTTAAAGCTCAAACACAAGGAAGACATTCACAGGCTGACCTCAGAGAATGTTGGTGTGAACTTGGACCTAAAATCTAGTTAATTCCAAGGTGTGAACAAGCAGCTCCGTCAGATGAGACAAGATCTCACCTCCCAACAGAGCAAAGAACCTCAGGTGGGAAGTAATATGAAAAATGCTAATAATGATAATAATAATGATAATAATACTTTTTAGCTTTGTAATTTTATTCAATGTAAAATATTAAACTATCCGAGGAAGACTTTAATTTGGCTTAAAACAGTCAAAAGACAGAGTTAGACTAAATTTATTGGAGGACAATGTGTTAGGCCAATAGTTACTTCAGTACTATTGAATTATCCTAATTGGAATTAACACCAGAATTTTTGGTCAACATTTCTTTTGTGCTTCCCCCCTCCCCTTCCCCCTACAAAACCACACATAATTCATGTTTCTCCATGATACACAGGACTAGAACTAGACCAAAGGTTATGGTCTAAAGGTCAAAGCCAACTTTCAGTCATAAGCCCTTATGTGAAACTGCCCCCAACTTATCTAAGGTGAAAACAAGGTTTGATGCATGTTTCTCCTTGACCAACAGGTCCACACCAAGGTCAAGAAGGTCGAAGTCGAGTCCGAGGCCAGTAAGAAGGCACTGGCAGAAGCCATGGCCGAGAAGGATAAGCTACGCAATCAGATCACGACATACCAAAGAATGTACAATGACAGCAACAAACAGTTGACTGCAGAGAAAATCAAAGTCACTGATCTTGAAAAGAGGGTATGTGTCAATTAGGGTAGAAGGTATGTGTTGTTGACAGTATGAAATGCATGGTCCAATGAAAATTTTATCCTGTTTATCCAAAATATTTCATTAGAACTGGTAGAGAACTTTTTGAGATATGATGTCCACGCATACTTATCAACGCCAATAAAAACACAACCTTTTTCACTGGCAGAGGTAATTATTTATTTCACAGTTCTTTTAAAATCCTTCCTCCCATCCAGTTAAAGGAGTACGAGAAGCAGATGGAGGTTGTCAAGTCAGAGATGATGAGGGAGATGAAACAGCTGGAGCAGACCAAGTCCCATGCCGTGGACCAGGCTGCCAAGAGGGCCGAGGAGAAGATGATGTCCCTGAATACCAACTACACACGGGCCAAGCTGGGACTCCACTTGCTCTGGCCTCAGTTTACGCAACTGGTGAGGAAGTCAGCTTGCAGTACATTATATTGTCATTTGTCACCCAAAGTAACTGATTTGCACTTTGATTGTAGAATCATCTGTGGATTATTACATGTTAAACTTGTCTTATTACAGTTAATGTAGTTATAGAATATATTGGATGGTGATTGTTAAAATGTAGAGATATAGATGAGATGATGATGATGATAATAATAATTACAGAAGGCTATTCCACAGTATATTATCATATACTCTCTAGAATATCTTCACCTGCTAAGGGGGGTGGGATGTATGCATCTTCCCTTAAATTAAGAAAGTAGGAATTGTGAGAAATTTTTGCATTTTGATTAAAATGGGATGGAAATTGCTTCAGTAAAATATTTTACAAGTGACAAGCTATTTTAACCTGTAAACCCACTAAATCAGATACCTAATGAAATATAAGTACATTTGTGCATGAGGGTAGCATGGACATATCACCATGTAAAAAACCACATCCTCTATAAAAGCTTGTTTTCTTTCTTTCAGGTGAAGGAGCACAAAGCATTGAAGAAGGACATGTCTGCCTTTCCTCTCCTCATTAAGCAAACCGTGGTAATGACACTGAAAGAGGTAACCATTGTTATATGCTTTGGCATACATGTGATAAAATTGGTCGCACTAAGAGTAACTTTCAGGTCTGCTGCTTGTTTAATGAAGTTATATGATGAACAGATGTAATTATATTTCATGAAAACAGACACTTACATTCAACAAATCCAATAACACATATTAAAACATTACATGATCTTATGACTGGAAATAGTAACAAGAATCGGGTTGTTATGACTATGCCACATGTATTTCTTACAGATTAGCAAAGCTGTCCATAATGTCAGTGAGTACAACAAGGAACTAGTCAGGAAGTACAAGAAGGAGATGCAGTTGAGGAAGAAATACCACAATGAGCTTGTGGAACTCAAAGGTAGTTGGCACTGCTAGAGACAATAGATAGTTCAAACTGTAAACTTTTCAATCTCCATTGTAAAGATTTTATATATGAGACCTATTTTAGTAAACCTTGTGTATTTTGCCAAATTAAAGTTTGAAAACATTCTATCAGCTGCATTTATCACTTATTAATTACATTAATTTGTCACTCGACAGCCGAAAGGAGAGTTTATTGTTTCTTTTATAAAGATGGTATAAAATAAATAGTTTCTAAAGAGACAAAACTAGTTGAAACACCATGCCCATTTAGAAGGGTAACTTTTTTTTCAAAATGTGATATTAATTCACTTTTTCTATGGACAAACTTCATTTCATTTGATCCCTACCCCAATTTCAGGAAACATCCGTGTTTTCTGTCGTGTCCGTCCAAACATCCGTGAAGATGGCAGTGGTCAGCAGGCCCAGTCAGTGGTCAGTTATGACTAGGATGATGATGGACTGCTGTTCATCAATAACAAAGGTGGATGTGTCCAGACATTTGAGATGGACAAGGTCTTCACTGAAGACAGCACTCAAACAGAGGTTTGCTTTTTCTTTCTTTCTTTCTTTCTTTCTTTCTTTCTTTCTTTAGTTCAGGTCTAAATTGTTGTTACAGTTATACATGTATGGGCATATCTATTGGGCACAGGTATGTGAGTGTGAGAAGTGGGTTCTTAATTTTTCCATCAGACATTGTATGATTGAGCTTCTATTCACTTTTTGTAATTATTGAAAACTTTTCGCTGAAAACTCTGGCAGCCTGCTAAGAGCAAACAGACACATGAAGATATTTTAAATTATTGAATGAATTTTTTTAATGTTTGCTTTGAAAAATAAAAAAAAAGAATATTTAGACGTCTTTTTTTTTTTTTTTTTTTTTTTTTTTGCCTAGCTGATATTGGGTCTCACCTTTTAAAGGTCTCATGTCTTATAAGAATGAAAAATGTAAGGCATTTTTATATCAGCTCATTGAAAAGCAGTTCATTAGTGGAGAATTTTTAAATTTTGTGTTTTTCCTTGTATTTATTCAAATTCTCCTAGACATATTAACAATGATATAATTTTGGTACTTAACATATCCAGGTATTTGATGAAGTGAAGGCATTGGTGACATGCTGTGTTGATGGTTATAATGTCTGCATATTTGCTTATGGTCAGACAGGGTCTAGAAAGACATATGCCATGGAGGTAGGTAACTGTACACACTAGCATGTGTGACTTAATAGACATATATCTTTAGCTGGTATGTAGTTGTATATGTAAAGAATGATTTGGTCAAATATTGATAATAGTCGTTACCTAATCATTTATTGACATTTTCCTTTTGATAATTTGTTTTACTCTCAGCTTTAAAAAGATGGATGTATACATGATTACTATTTTGACTTTAGCATGCCAATTAATTTTTTTTTTTTTATTGATTTTACAAGTGTCACCACTGTCTCATTATCAGTTGTCACAATTGCCCTCCTTCATTGTGACATTATGTCTCTGTCACTGTCACAAACTCTTCATTGTGCCAGAAATGTTTGTCATTTTGTGACTGTCTTCATTGTGCAACATTGTCCACATTGTGTCATAATTTCCACATTGTTTCATTATGTTCTCATTATGTCACATTGTCTTCATTGTGTAATATTGTCCTCATTGTGTCATATTGCCCTCAATTTGTCACACTGGCCTCATGTCACATTGTCCTTATGTCACATTGTCCCCATTGTGTCACTGTGTCCACATTGTGTCACATTGACCTCATTGTGTCACACTGTCATCATTATGTCACATTGTCCTCATTGTGTCATATTGCCCTCCTTCCAGGGACCCAGTGAGGACCCAGGTATCAACCAGAGAGGACTGATGGAGCTGTTCAGGGAGACTGCTGACAGGGCTCTGGAGTGGCAGTATGACATCACAGTCAGT